TAAGATGTCTAGAAACCAGACTTTCGCGAATTTCATTCCTTGCATCGAATTGATGAGTAATTTCTCTCACTCAACTCTGTTTTGAAACAAACACATTTTGTTTTCCAAAATAAATATTACAAGAAAACTGAGGGATTAGCATGGGAAGCCCCCTCAGTCCTCCTGGCTGATCTACATGCATTATTATGAATCAAAATTGTTTGAAACTTTAAACTTCCCGGCATGGTTCCGCTACGTAGACGATACTTTTACCCTGTTTGAAGGTAATAAAGATGATTTAAATAGAGTTCTTTCAACAATGAATTCTATTGATCCTGCTATTCAGTTCACTTTTGAACTTGAGACTTGCAATTCTCTTCCGTTTCTCGACATTCGGTCACACGTAACCATCCAACTTCAGTACTACAGTTTACCGTAAACCTTCACGGTTTGCCTTCCACCACACTTTAAATCATGTCATCCGACTAAACAAAAGTTTAGCTTCATTTTATTCCTATGTTTTCCGTGCTCTTCAAGTTTGTTCCTCCAAACTAGCCCTTGATGAAGAACTAAATTATTTAAAAGCAATAGCTATTGACAGGGGCTTTTCACCCAACATTATTAATCAAGCAGTTAAAAAATTCTCATCTCAACACACTAAAAGCCACACTCTTATTTTAGGAGATTAAAAAATTCTGTTGTCATTCCCTTCTTTCCATCAATTAGCTATAAAGTTGCACATATTTTGCAGAAAATTTAACTTTCGGGTTGTTTACTCTCCCATCAATAAAATTCCAACTTCTATACTCAAGGACCCCATTCCGGATATGAATTCCTGGGGTATTTATAGGATTCCTTGCCAGTGCGGTTTAATTTACATTGGCCAAACTAAGAGAGCCTTAAAATTTCGTGTCAAAGAACATGAGGCATATGTTAGAAAAAAGGAAACACAGAGTCTTCTGTTGCTCAACATTGTTGGTCCGAAATCACACTTTCAATTTTTCTGCTGCCAAAATTATTCAAAAAAACATCTTCCATTGGAGAAACTGGATTTTCTAGAGGCATTTCACATTCATAAAAATCTTTCTGTTCTAGTTAACGATCCTAATTCCAATCCAAATTTGCCTTCGGCTTTTAGAGAAATTATGTTTTAGTTCTGGTTTCGCCAACAGATGGCGCCACTTGCTTATTCTTGTCCAGGCTTTCTTATCTTATCTAAACATTATTTCCTATCTTGTTCATTTGCGGTTTTGCAGCTGAAGATGATGGTTCGGTAAAACCATCGAAACTAGTCCTGTGAAAATTTTATAAATTAACGCTGATTTTTGTTGTTTGACTTCTGAATTAGTATTTATTCAGCGTGTTATTGTGTCTTAATTAGAGAAGCGCTATCGCTGTGCGCCGGACTCAAACGGTTAAACTGATGAATGTCTAAATGTAATTGTGTCATTTTATTTCTTGTTAGTCATACAGTTTAAGAACATTGTTAAAAAACATAAAATACAAAAATATTGTACTGATTCTACCAAAAAATTTTATAAAGAAGATATTTAAAAGTTAGATTTGCTTGTGAATGCTTTATGAATGTATGGATAAGTGCTTTACAGCAGGGGTGCCAAACTGGGACCATGTGCAGACTTCGAATACATTTCAATTATACATTTGTTGTAAATACGGTGCTACAAAGACTTCAAGATTTTTAGTATTTGAAGTTCAAGTTTGCATTACTTTAATTTCCACTAAAAGTGAACACGAGCAATACCCCATAAAATCTATATATGTAATTAATTAATTTACAATGCGATATAAATCTTATTCAAAGATTTCAAGATACATATTTTATTAACTTTTATTTGTACTCATCAAAAATATCCTCAGTTATGAGCTTTTGCACTAAGAATAATTCTTTTGTTTGAGAATACTTTATATGTGAACAGCTCTTTTTCACAGTTGGAAACCGTTCAGAAACGAACCCAGTTGACCCATGAGAATCTAAGATAAAGTAATCTTGATAAAGGTAATTTCCAATAACTTGTCTTCAAGGCAAGGCTATGAACTTTATCAGAACCTAATACTACTATAAAGTGACAAGCTTGATAGTAGTACAATCAAAAGTCTTTAATACGGACTCGTCGAGACTTCGGCGATTCCGGATTATAGATCATCAATTTAAGTCTGGTAAGATGGCATGCAGAAATTATAAAATTAAAAATATGAAACCATAATTTATCAAATAAAGAGCAATTATGATCTAAAGGGTATCAAAATTCACACAAAAAAAGCTTAATATTTATTTGCTTACTTTATTAAACATTTCGTTCAACGTGCATATGCGTAAAGTATACATTACACATAGTCGAAATTAGAAAATTGCAACCAGAAAACTATTTGATGTGTATTCGTGATATTTATAATGACAAGGAATTTGATTTAAATCATATCAAAGACGGAGTACATTGAGATGAAATACTGCATTATGTAAGGAATTATAAGCGGAATAAAATAAAAACATCTGCCCTGAAGATAATGATAGTGTTGACAGATCAACTTCCAGTTCATTGCGCGCCGCACTCCCCCGACTCCCCCGCCCGCATATGCAGCGTTTGAAATTGCTATGCGTTTTTGTTTAATGTTTAGAGAAACAAAGAATATGCCTTTATCCATTTTTTTGCAGCAATTCCATTTTTTGTTTGATGGACATCGAAACATTCTTTCGCTTTGTAGATTCTTTGGCAGCTCCAGAATAGGAAATTCTTTTTGACGTAATGGAAAGTTCAAGCTTACTTTTGTAAAATTCCTCTAACTGTCTGTAAAAAATAATAAGCGGTATCCAATTCGAAGATTAAGGAGCAACGCAATCTACAACATTAACTGAAATATCTAATTAGATAATTTGAGTTTAGCTTATACCGTCCGTTATACATTAAATGTGCATGCGTAAATGTATTATGCGCATGTGTAAAAGTATTATTCACATGCGTAAAGGTATTATGCGCATGCGTTAACGCATGCGCACAAAGTTTGTAGCTTTGAGGTTCGGATTATAGATCATTCCAGATTATGGACGTCCGGATTATTAGGTTCTGATAAAGTTATAAGTATTAGGTTCTGATAGCAAGAGATAGTAAGAGTTCTGAAATAAAGAGTTTGTAATTATTTGCTACAAACATATATATTTTTATTTATTAACCAACGAAAATTTTAATAAATAAAAGAAAGAAATTAAGTTGCCATTATTTATTCCAAGTTTTGCCCACTTGGAAAAGTTTCTCTTAAAACTTTTAGTTTTTCATAATTTGCTTATTTTTAGTTTAAATTTAAGTAAATTATTTTATGATTAACTAAACATGCTAGAATTGAGTCAATCTAAGATTTAAATACTTTGCTATCAATATGCTTGAATTATGAAGTTTATATTTCAGATGGAAAATAAACAGAAATTTCAGTTTTTTTTCCGTTTAGGATTTTATCATGATTGTTTACATCCTGTTTTCATAAATATTCAGTAACTGAAATTTGAAGTTTATTTAATTTTGCTGATTTAAAAAAAAATCTGGTACCTTTATTGTTTCCAGATTGTGCTCGCAGCCCACGTACAATTTGATTTTGATACACCTGCTTTACAGGAAGGATCTACTGAATTTCAGAATCATTATCAGAGGTAGGAACTAATTTAGAGTGATCTGCGAGTGGAACCAAAAATGAATGCCATACATTAGAAACATTTAATATCATATAGAATTCCAACAAGTTAAAAATTACTTAAAAGTTGATTCAACATCCGAATTGATGAGATATTTATGGCAATTAGAAGCTTTGAGAATTTCTAATAAAGCTGATGACAGTCACAACTTAGAAGACAATATTACTTTCAGAAAATATCAAGAATCCATAAAATTTGAGGACTACAGATATAGGACTTTCCTGTCTTGGAACAAACATGCAGGGGAACATGCAGCATAATTTTGAAGTAGTTGAAAAATTATTTGAGTCACTATGTTGCAGATTTAAGAAGAATCCAGAGTTTTATGAGTATTAAAAAGCTGTGACAGATCAGCATTTACAAGATATTGCAGAAGAATCAGAGTATTTAAAAACTGAAAAATAGTAATTTTTACAACAGCAAGCTGTAATTAGATATATCGCAAAATTTCACATGGTCTTTGATGCATCATCACTTGCTGAAGCCAAACAATCATTAAATGACTATTTAGAATCGGGCATTTCTTTCCATGTGAAACAGGTTCCGCGATTTTTAAAATGATGTAAATATGGATTTATGGCTTTTGGAAAATCTAGTTGCAGAACTTGAACCTCTAAATTTTGACATGCAGCTCTTACTAACATTAAATTTGGCCACTTGTGATATATAACATGTATATTAGATCTTACTGTATTTTGTATTCATGGAGAATTGATCAAAAACCCTTGTTATTGCAGCCTACAGAAATTGGACGGATAAAGACAAACTATTTCATAACTTTTTTGTAGTTTAAGGAAGAATTTAGAAAATTTGTATCATATCAGTTCAAAAAAAAAAGGCTATTTCATTTGCTTTTCTCAATACACCAACCCCAAAGACGAAGTGCTGAGAGATGTGAATTCTTTGTAACCTCTTTATATATTATTTTTTCTTTATTATTTGCACTTTCCAAGCGTATACTGCATTACTGATTTCAGCTCTGAGCTCTTATATTTATTCACAATGGTTAATTACTTAAGCACACAGTTTTATTTTTATATTAGCATGCACTAGTTTGAATACCTAATAGAATTAAATGTTTTTTATATTTTCTGTGCATATACTAAAGATGGCCTCATATATCTATGCTTTTATGTACATTTTACTCATTTTAAAAAGTGCAAATTTTATTAACATTTTTTGACAAATTAGTAAAAGAGTGTCAAAAAAAAGTCATTTATTTAAAAAAAAAAAAAAGAGACAGAAGTAAATTTAAAAAAGAAATAAAATTTAATTCCATTATTTAATTAAATTGTTAAAATACAAAAATCCTAACTACCTTACAAGCCAGTTCTATCTGTGAAGAGGCAACTATGGGAAACTCTTGATTATCCTTTAGATTAAAAGCTTTTTCTGAACTTTTGCTGAAATAATGAAAATATTTGTAATATCCTGGAAAATGTTTACAAGTAACAAATAAATAACTTCAAAATGCTGTAAAATAAATTCAATTTCCTAATATACAGCTTTATGAATATTTGCTAACAAAATTAAAGAATTTTATAGTCAGGCACAAAAATTTAAAGTTTCTGCAACATAAAATTTAACACATATATCCTTATTTAATATAGTATCTTACTTTTGTTTTCAGATACTTGTATTTTTGAAATTTATTTGCATAGATCTTGTACTAAAAATTGAACTCATTTTTTTTTTTTCTAATACATATTATTTTGGATACTGGATTAAAAAAGTTATGTACATATGCATGTGTGTGTGTGTGTATTAGGACTCAGAATGTATGTATGTTGTATACTCACGCACATTCCTGAGTCTGGTCCCGATAACCGAAAAATAGCCCTCATTTTTCTTCTATCGTAAGCTTTGCTTGTTGCAAAATAAAATACAATAAAAATATTTCTTGTAATAAAATAATTTATTCAAAGTGTTAATCGCATAATAATTTGGACAAATTAAAGTTCTTTTTTAGATCTTTCGGCAGATATTTCTTGTTATAATCTTTCTGTTTAAAATGAAAATACATAACAAGAATTATGATCTGCATTGGGAAATTATTACTTGTTAACTAAAATACATTAACAGCTCTACATCTGAAACTAACACGGGAAGATACTACAAATTAAAGACAAGTTTCGTAAGAAATATAATTATTCATTATTTTAAAGATGGTAAAAGTATTCAAAATACCCCCAAAAATCCTTGATGTAAAGCATTCAATTATCTTTGATATTATAAAAGAATGGAAATTGTGTGAATTGTTAAAAATGCTTTCAAGTCTAGACTACATTCCAAGTTCACACCAACTCATGACATTAATCCTACAAAAAAATAAAAAAAAAAACACTCAGATGTTAAAGCTATAAAATTTGCAGAAGATTTAAGAATAGTTTGCAATAAAAGTTAATGGTAGAATTGTTAAAAGAATCACTAAGGCACATGTATAAAATAGGTGATCAGCAAGAGGAAAATTCTTCATGAGTAAGAAAGCAAAAACAGTATGCCTGACATTTGCAAAATTCATTGTAAGCAAAAGTTTGTCATAATGGAACAATGTTATATTTTCAGAAGAGCCAAAAATTTAATATATTTACACCCAATGGAACAATTACTGTGCGGAAAAACCAAAATGAAGAACAGAATCCGAAAAAATTGTTGCTTATATTTAAACAGAGGAGTGCACCATAGTGGTTTGAGGATATTTCAGTCTCTGAAATAAGAAATTCAGTTTTCATAGAATATTATATGGATCAGTATACATACATACATATTCTTAATGAAAACATGCAAGCCAAAATACTTTCCAGATCTATCAGGATAACAATCCTAAATATACAGCCTTAAATGTTCGCTTGTGGTTATTATTCCTTTGAAGTTATCAGAACTCCTTTATATTCTCTGGAACTGTATTATGTTACACATGTAGGCAGTAAGTTGAAGCAAAGAAGAAGAAAACATGTTTCATTAAAAGTTCAACTAAATGTAATTCTTATGGAAGAATAGAAAAAACAGGACATTCTTATGTGAAGAAATTATTTGAATCCATGCCAAAGCTTAGGGAAAATGTAGCCTTATTTAACTAATGGACACCCCCCAAAATATTATATATCCTTTACTTTCTAATCTTTATTAAATATAAAACTGTTTGTTCCAGGTGTCTGAATACTCAAGCAAGTTTATTTTCAGAACCTCTTGAATATGCTTTTTTTTTTTTTTTTTTTTTTACCAAAAATGTTAAGGACAACTTATTTCCAAAACAAACAGATTTTTAAAAAGAGAATAAAATATATAAATAAATAAAACTGAAAAACACATCTGCCTGAAAACAAATGTGAACCATTGCATATTTATAAGATGAAACTATATACATATAAATGTAATCGATCAAGAGATAAAAATAAACGCAGAACAGTAAAATGGACTTATCTCAGTTAACTCGGGTACACTAAATTATATCTGTGCAGCCGAGTAAATACGTTTAAGACTTTTTTTCCCCCAGATATGAACACATAAAACATAACGGAATAATTTTGTGTTAAAATAAAGAAATGATTAAAAGAGGTCGAGTTTAAATAAATATTGTAAAAAAAAAAAAAAAAAAAAATGGCGAAACAACGACTATTTTCCGTATTATTACTGGTGCGCTAAGGGGATAATACAATATGTATATGTTGAAATTCAACCTTAAAATTTTAAAGTAACAAGCAATAAATTTATTTATTTACGGGGATGTTTCCATAACAGGCACTTTGAAATTAAAAAGTCGATAACAGTATATAAAAGCTCGTAAGTCGTCTTGAACCTGGTTTAAATTTTGCCGCCGTTTCATGTTTTTTTAATGACAGAAAAAGGACAAAAAAACAATTTCGCATATCTATCAAAACTTCACATTGCAGCACCATAAAACATACCTCTCCATGTTTTATTTTTTAATATATTTATTGTATGAGAAATATGTAATATTGGGAAAAAGAAATTTCACGAGAGAAAGCAAAAATAAATGCACAAACATGTTTCGGCACATTTTAGTACTCAAATTTGCTTGCTCGGAAAAGCAAATGCGTACTACACTTTATAACCGAGGTTTTTCTTTTTTTTTTTTAAATTTCAGATAACGCCTACTTGACATCCTATCAATGAAATTATTTTTTCTTGGTGAAAGTAATTACATTTTTTAAGTCAATAAATTTTGTGAGGAATGTAAATATTATATACAAAAGGAAAGAATTTATTTTTAAATCGAATTTTTTTTTTTTTTTTTAATTTTGCGAAAAAGCAAGTTTTTTTCAATCTGGCAACATTGTTATTTTTCGAATATTATTTAGCTTTTTATATCTGGCAATAGTGATTACAAATAGCTATGATGGCTGTGAGCGTGAGAGTGAGTGAAGATAATTCCACTAAACGTTTAGAAGTGAAAACAGCAATAAGAAGCAGTAATACAGGTAAGTTTTTTTATGTGAACGGTCTGATTACTCTTAATAAAATAATTATTAGTTTTTCTAATTATAATTTGAATTTTTTCATAACCTCTGTGTTTGGGTCGTTGTTAGTGTACGAAGAAGATAGTAAACAAAAGACTCGATCGTCATAGCAATGTTGTAACAGCTGTTTATGTTGATTAGTTCTGCGGTATTGCAAATCATATTTGAAGTTATGTAGGCAGCTTATCTGATGCTGAATTTTTATTAAGATATCCTTGTAATATCATTTATTTAATAGCATGATTATAAATTGTCTGCAGCAGTAATACTTGTTATTTGAAATCGGCCCTAGATTATTGAAACTCGCCACTTATAATTATTTTTATCCCTTAATTTTGAAGTGCTATTAGGATTTGCAATTTAAATTATAAAAGCTTATTTTAAGAGTGCATTATGTCAATCCAATGGAAAAAGTTGATTAATCAACAGCCTGTACTCCAGTCGGTGCATACTCTTAACTAATCAGCCTAGGTTAATTTCTCAGGCGTGACAAATCATCCTAGTACGTGGTTGTTTTGTCAAACTAGACCATTCTGTATTGATATGCTGAATCATGTGGTACACCGATTTGTAGAAACTATGTTAACAAATTTATTATAATAAAATCGTTTTAGTATAAATTTTAAAAAAAGTCCCTTTTTTTAGAAATTAATCAAATGTACTAGTTGCATATATCAAATTTACTAAAAGGCTTCTCAAGGGGGGGAAAAGAAAGGAAACTAAAAGGAACTCTGGCTCCCTTCCATTGTTAATGGTTGCATTTAGCATTTTAGCAAATTGTACATTGTTTTCAGATATCAGATATGATGAAATTCTGAAATAAAACACATTTTACAAGCATTACTGCTAATTGAAATGAGAATAAAGTATAAGTTGTATTACTAGCTAAGTGTCCCATTATAAATATTATCGTAACTATGATAGGTACTCTTGTTATAGGAACCAGGCTCAGAAATGTATGTATGTGTATGTGCATACCTACATACATTTCTGAATCCGGTCTCGATAACAGAACAGTACCGTATGATATTATGCTAATATGCTTTTGAATAGTAGTATTAAAAAGTGGCTTGGATTATTAGGATTAGAAATAAGATGTTGTGCATAATTACTTTACTTTTAGTTTTAACTCTATTAATTTTCATGTTCAACCATTTTTGCATTGTGTTTTGTTTTGTATACTCATGAATGATAAATATCGCAAGGTAGCAGAGTGTAGTACTAGTATACTTAGCATATGATTTTTTTAATATATCATTATCAGAATATACTTATATCAATAATTAGAAAGTCAATCTTGGTGAAAATTTGTATGTTTATTCGTATCAAATTATGTCGATTCTCTCAGCAAGCTAAGTAGTGTGTATTGCATAATATATTGATACCACATGTTATTACTATGTGCTTGTTTGTTAATACACAGCATTATATGCATATGTGGTAAGCTATGTTCTATGTTGATTTGTAGAACCATTTACTGACTACTATTTCTAATAAAATCCTTTTAGTGTTTAAAAAAGAGAAATTGAAATTAGAAAATGTAAATACAGTAAAATTTCTCATTTAGGACACTATAAGAACTGAAGTTATTGTCCTTAAATAAGAGGTATTCTAAAATCAGAGGCTGTGAAAAAAATTTGTAAATCACCCATCATAAATATTTTATGAGTTTTAAAATTTATTAAAAACATTAAATACAGAAATAAAAATTGTAAATTGTTGTTTCTCATCCCTGTGACCAGCAGAGCTAGATCAGGTCCATGAGCCCATTCACCCTGGAAGAGTCCAGTACAAAGAGGGGGTTTTGAACCAGATCCTGTCTGGTAAGCCCCAGACAAGATAAGATGTGATCAGGAGAGGCCTGTGCAACCCATCAATCCATCCATGCATATGAATTGTAAATTAATATGTATAGATAATAAATGTACTTACATTTTATAAAATATTCAGTAATGTTTTTGGTTGATCTTTGGATTATGGTAATGATAATCCAAAGAAATTATTTTTTGGCAAAAATTTGGCGACCAACTCTGCGGCAGCAACCCCCTATTTTTTTTTTCGCCGCCATTTTGTCTTCACGAAGTAAAGACATGTTTCTTTTTATTTACTCAACACTTTTTCCAACAATCAGCTAGCCGAATTACACTTATGCTAGAAATTTTATGGAACAAAACTACTTAATCATGACAAATATTAACTGCAAAATTGGAAAAAGTGCAGAATCGCAAACTCCTTGCTGTGTTTTTCAAAATTGCACATACACAGTAACCATGTACACGTCGACTTATTTTTACTTAAAAAAACTTCCCAGAATTGCACAAAAAAGGGCATTGCGCACACTTTTCACTTTATCCATGTACACTGCTTTTTTCTCATAAATTAGAAAAATTTCACGAAAATGCAGGAAAATTTTGTGAATCTTTAAATTTGGTAAAAAGGACATATATGAAATTACCTGATTGCGAAAAAGTATATACCCTTTCCAAGGATGAACATTTGCACGTATAAAATAAATAAAATATCCCAAAACTTTTACCTTTAAATTATCTATTATAAACGTCACCAACGAATTTATAACAAAACATTAAAAATGATTACAAATACTTAGTGTCAAATACTTAAATTCTTTCCATGCACATTTACTTCTACTCAAACGTATTCCAAAATACTACAAACATATAACTCTCAAAATCACGATCATTAAATTAAAATATAATTAAATTAAAAAAACTCTACTTAAAATATAAATAAGCACATACATTAAATTAATAAAACTTAGCTTACAATCCTTAATTACTTTAAACTAATTCATTGCTAATAAACATTTTCCAATAATACCATATTAAATTTATTTACTCCTTACATGTAAAAATGCATAAAAATATATCCTCAAATTAATTAAAAATACTAACTTACCTAAATCTTCTACAGAATCTTGAGTGCATGGTGGATCACAAAATGTCCATTTTCACTAAATTTCTTGCACCGCCATTCAAACTTATCTGTAATAATCCTTCCTTTCACACAATCTCTCTTTTATCTCATTTCATTCGCACATGTTAAAAAATTCATACTTATCCGCAATTAAGTAATTCTTTTCAATTACACATAAACGTAATAAAAATTTCAGATTTACTTTATATACGGCCATGGTATCCAAATAATTAACAACACTGTTTCACAGAACATGGAATGAAACTACTGCTATAAAGTACAGCAGATATTTCTACAAATATACCCCCTTTTTCGATTAAAGAACAGTGATTCGTCGATTAATGTCACATGACATATCTCATGATCTCTCATTTCCCTCGCACAAAATAATGCATAATTGGAACTGAGTACTTCTCACATTATTCGCAAAGTCCTAGGTAGTAACCTTTATCGCCTCCAAAATGTCGCCAAACTACCTGTTACCATTTTCCAAAGATCAGCCATGTGGGTATATTGGCATTTTTTATGGTTTTCAAAGCAAATTTCTCGCTGAGAAGTTATTTGAAAACTTTTACTGTCGTTATTATGAGTGCTTTTAAAGTTTTTATCATATAATGTGCTTCATTAAAAATAAGGTAATAGAAAGCCTGAAGTAATGGATTGTTCATAATCTTCATCTGATTTTTTTTCATAATCAGTAAGGTTTTTTTTACTAATTCTAATTAATCACAGTCTACTGCTGCCGTCTCTTCAATTAAAAATGTATTCAGAAGCTGAAAGTAGAATTTGGGCTAAGTGTATTTGTCAATGGTAATGAATTTGAAATAAATTTACAAATTTTTAAGCAAAAATTTGCAGGGAAATTTGGCTGTCAGTCATATCAAGATGGTTAAAAAAGTTGGACGCTTTTGAATATACTTTCAGGGTACTTCAAAGAATTTGGGTGTTCAAAGAGAAAACACTTCAACGTGTACACCAGCAAATACCATTAATTGAGCTTGTGTTAACAGAAAAGACAAAAACGATATCATTGCAGATTAAAGTGAAGAGTGACTGGTTTTAGACTATATGGTTGTATAAATTTAAATTACGTTATAGAACATCATGAATGTAGAATCCCGTGATTTCTCAGTCAAATTATTTGAAGATTCAGGAGTTATCCAGTGATGTATGTGGATGTCGTTTTTTTTTCCTCCTGATAAAACAGCGGCTGAGCGGTAAAGTCGCTGAGCACTGGTAGTTCGGTCTATGATTCAAATCCCGCAAACGAGCTGGCTGCATGGGCGTTTTCGTGGTTTTTCCATGTGTAACATGCATACAAGCCAGTTTCCCTTAGAAAGTACTCCACGGAGGCATCCTTTCCCTTAGGCACATAGCCCTTGTGTGTTTGTCATAATTAAATAAACCAAAGCTTCGTAACGAAATCAGTCTTTCCTTTCATCTCATACCTTCAAAATGCTTAGCCTCTAAAGACTGATAAAGGCTCTGACCAAATACTGATGAAATGGATTGAATTGGATTATTAAGTTACGGCAAAGCAGGACTATCTGCCTAAAAGTAAAGATGTATTCGTGAAGAACTTTCTAAGGGAAACCAGCTGACATAAACGTTACACATGAAAAAATCCAAGCAAACGCCCATGCAACCAGCCCGTTTACTGGGATTTGAACCCCGGAGTGAACTACCAGTATTCAGCGACTTTACCACTCGGCTGTTTGTGGGCCTTTATGAAATGGAAGGCAATAAATTTATTTAAAATGATTGTCAGAAATACCAAGATGTTTCAAAAAGTTGGATACTTTTTAATATACTTGCAGAATGCCGGAAGAAAAAGGGAAGAAAAAATAAATTTTTGCGTAAAATTTAGTATTTGTATTTTTTTTTAAATTAAAAACTTCTTAATCTTATGATATTTGATTCTTGCGATTTGAAAAATAAAATATTTGACTAAAATGTGAATAATGTTTTAAGAAACCAGTGTATGCAAGTCATTCCAAGTTAAAATGTTGGTTATACATCTCTCGTAT